TGATTTGCATTTGTTGAATTAATAAAATTAAAATTGCGAATAATTAAATAATATTAGCGTCATAATTACTTCAATATTTCCTAATAAAAACCTTCTGCTTTGATGAATACTTGTAGCTCCTACTTCTATACAATGGTGGAATATTTGCTCTCCATGCTCGTTGTCAATATTTCGCATTGAATTCTCAAATGCGATAGCACTCCAAAAAGGGAAGGAATATGTTAACAGAATCTAACCGATGCTCACAAATATAAAGTACTGAATACAACTATATATAAATAATTTTAAAATTGAGTAAGGAGAGATTTTATCAAAGAGCTATTTAATCCCTTGAACTTTAAAGTTCACATGCAACCCAACAAGCATTTTATAAACTTATAGGCATTCCTGATGACTGTTTCTGAAATAATAAATTTTTGCAGAAATTGTAGTATTATCAAATATTTTTTTTTGAATTGCGTCTAATAAAGATTTTTACGTAACGATAGTGCTTTAAATTCAAACCAAAATCTATTATTTTGACGCTATTCTCAATTCTACGTGTAGCGCGTCATTTATAAATGTCTTTTATTAATTCTTGAGCTTTATGTAAAACTCTGATGTAAAACCGTTTATTTCATACATTTGTAATTTATTTGTAAACCCCGTTTATTTTGAGCTTTCATTAAAGTTTTTTTTTTATTTATTTATTTTTCTTTTTTTAAAAAAAAAATAGATAGGAGAAAAAAATAAACAAATATTTATCAATTTCCTTTCCCATCATCCTATCCTATTTAAGGTAAAGCGCACTCCTTTTAAAGATCGCACCCTATTTGATCACCAATAACCTCTTTAAACTTCTCCCATTTGCAATACTCGCCTCCACAACCCGAGATCAATATCGGTTTAAAGTTTAATACCATTCGTATCAACACCTCATTCTTTTGACAAGTATAAATTTTGAAATAAACCATGGAAGACCAGGGTATAGATGCGAATTCTGTAAATTTGACTTCTTTAATCTTTTCATAGGGTAAATCTGCCGTGAGAGGGTATTTCTCTTTGAATACTCCCTGTGATTAAAAGTATGATTCTATCATCAAAAAAAATCAAATAGGATAAAAAAATGAATACAAACATTTCACATACCAATGAAGTGAACAGCGCAAGTAATGAGTAACTATGAGAATTCTTTATATCAGCAATCATAAAAGACTTCCCATTTAAAAAATTATCAACTCCAGTTACGAGTTGAGTAAGATAGACACAACCCATTCGCTTGTTAAAAGGATGACCGTATTGAAGAACATGATAGTGGAAAATATCCCAATGATATCGTAATAATAGAAGATCTTTGGGGCTGAGTAATGAACACCACGTGTCAGTTCGGTTAAAATGAAGGAGCCAAAATTCACAATAAGTAAAAACATATGGCATTAGATGTGGGTCAAGTGATGGATTGAGGTTGTATTCTTTGGAAATACGCTCGGCAATTGGTGCTAGAGTCTTGTTGCCATAGATATAAGCTTGCTCTAAGTAATCTGTATTATTTAAAATGGTTAGATACCAACGTGGACAGGCAACTTGCGGCTGTAACACATAATCTAAATACTGTATAAAGGGCATTATGTAAACGGCTTTTAAAAAAATATAAAAAAAAATATTTTTACAAATAGCGTAGCAAATAAAAAAAATAAAAACGAAACTCACGCCCGGTAATGACGAAATATATACAGGTTGACTTTTACAAGTATCCAAAGGTCCTTTGCCATTGAATAATCCTTCAGCAAATGCCATTGCTGACGCACCGGTCCTTTAAATAGTAGCAAATAATTGTATTTTATATTTATGCATTGTAATCATTGGAAATATTAGTTTTCAATTAAGTCGTACCTTGAAGTGTCAGTACTTTGAAATTTAATTACGTCGGGATCATATTCAACTCCTTTCCAAAATTTTGCGTATCTTTTACGACTTTGTATCCCATCGTAATAAGGTTCGAGTTCTCCTCGTTCGATCAATTTCAAAGCTTTCCACGCTGGGAAGGGGTTTTTATACTAAAAAGGAAAGTAATCTTTAAATAATTAATATATATATATATATATTTTTTTTATTGAGCATAAAAAAAAAAATTCTATTTACCCATTCTTTCGCAATATGAACATTGGCAAATATTTTTTCCAACTTCTCGTAATTAACGATGTCAGTTGGTTCTGGATACCTCGATCCTAATAATTAATTCAAAGACAGATTATTTTATGCTTAAATTTGCACGCAAGCACTAGTTAAAATTACCATGTCTAGTATTCAAATGTAATTGTACTAATTCACATTTATCAGGATAACTTATAGGTTTAATATCAAGAGCAAAGGCAGTTTTTGCCGGTTCGAGGTAAAATAAATGACCGTTGATAAGTTCATCTGGAGTATATTTGTACCTTTTGCATAGAATTGGGTTATATGAGATAAATAAAGCGAAGAGTAAAGCTGAATATAGAACGAGGTATGAAAACGCCATCTTTTTTTTAGAATTACAAGCTGCGCGTCTGATTCAAGAAAAAAGACGGGTTCTTTTTTATTTTATAAGAAAGTCAAAATCCTTAAATAGGAAAATTTTGTCGTTCATCATTTATTAGATTAATCGAATTTTCCTTAGAAGATAAATAATTTCTAATTAAAGTAAGATTATTTCTTAGTGATCTCGAATATTATTTATTCCATTTCACGGGAACCTGAAAAAAAAAGATCTGGACGTATCGATTAAGAGATCAATCTTTAAAGGAAAATCATTTTACAATGATACCAACCAATTATTACTTTTGTACTACATAAACATATAAGTTTCGACAAAGTATTTTCTGTGCAACGCAAGCAAACTGCAGATTTACGTGTCTCAAAAAAAGTAAATATTTACTTGATTCATTTTCGTTTGTAAATGTACAACATTAATGTTTTGATTGATTATTTAATCGATGATAGTGTGAGAATAACCGTTAAGAATTGATATATTTACAAATGATTTCATGTTACACAAAGTGTCACCTGACCAAAGAGAATTGGACCGATTTCGTTTCTTTGGAAATTTTTTCTATGGAAATACGCTGTCTTTATTCCTTTTCTTCTCTCAGCACCATTTGAATTATTTCATAAATTAATCCGATTTCTTTTATTTTATTTTATTTTATTTTTTATTTATATATTATTTTTTTTTTTTGATTTGTTTGCATGAATTTTAAACTTCCAAATTATAATTGGTAGTTGGTGATGCGTTAAATAAATCTTGGAATCAACTTTCCTTGATATACAGTAAATAAACATGAATTGCTTTAAAAAGTTAATTTAGTAAACCCATTTACAAACTTGAAGGAATAGTTGAAATATTTTTGAAATTCAAAAAGTGGTCAGATTCTTCTGATTGGCACGCGGTTAGATAATAGTTAAGTCGTGTTACCAAAGATCGTAAATAAGGATAGGCTAAATTTTAACAAATTGCTTTGTATCAAAGAATTCCTTTTGTGGCATTCTTGCAAATAAAATTTATAAGGTGTATAAAAATAATTTATATTGAATTTATAATAAATAATCGAACAAATTACCTTTATTATATTTGAAAGATTTTGATTTTGATTTTCACATTGTGTTCTAATAAATGCAGAGAGATAAATAATTAATGTGACTTTATATCACTAAAAGATTGATAGCTTGTGAATCCAACCCAATTTTGAGCTGTAGTGAATGATTTAAAATTTTTCAATTTGTGCAATCAATTTGACTCTTTTAACATTACAGAACAATTATCTTGTCCTATAATAAAATCACACCATTGCTCAATTTTAGGAATGGCTTTTAAAAAAAAAATTCAGTAAATAGATTCGGAAACCTATTCGGTATTCTTACAACTTATCCAATTCGGAAATCTGCCGATCCTAAAAATCTTCAATAATACATTTATCCTCGAAGTTTTTATCCACGTGATCGTAATTTAGCCAGTCTGAATAAATTGCCCGAATTAAGAACTTTATTTACATTAGATAACTTTTTTTTGTTTTGGTATTTTAGTAACGTGTTTTAAACTTCTTTTCATTCAAATTACAATTTCTTTATCGTTGTGGTAGTCGATCTTTTTCTGTTCAGGTGAAGAAAATTCATCACCTGTTGATTTGTCATACAGTATATTAATTATAGGAGTGTGATTTGGATAACTTTTTTAAATAATAATCCAAAAAAACTTTATAATTCTTTGCGATGCATCAGACGAAACATTTAATGAATTAGAGAAAAATAAATCGAGCAGCTAAACATAATAAAAAGAAATGTAAGAAGTTATTATATAAAGTCGAAGAAGCTGATATAATCGTAAGAGAATACATTATGTCCTTTTTTGCAATAAAACATATTAACAGCGATGACATCATTGATCGAATTTGGGTAAATGTGTGATATATTGCATAATCTTCTTTTATTGTATGCATGTGGTTTTATTTTTACAAAAAACTTATGTCCTTCATTATTATAGAAGCATGGATAGTTGCTAGGAAATGAAAGTATAGGCGATCGAATAATGGAGTAGGTGAGGTGCTTTCTTATTCAAATTATAATATTATATTTATTTATTTATTGGAAGTTTATGTTATATGAAATCAGCCAACCTATAAGATGTAAAATTTCTGGTGTAGAAAAAATTAACATTGAAGTAATCAGCGAAAATGACTTAACAATTATCGTAAAAAGAGTTAGGCTTCGTCAAAAAGCATAGTAATTGTCATCCCTTCTCTACTGATGAAATGTTATCAAAGTTAAATTAAAAAAAGTCAGCTTTTTTTTCTGACAGTTATATAATGAAGCGTATAAATATTAGACGAAGCTCCTCCTCCTGTTTCAATAAAATTCTTTCGGCTGTTAAATATGTTAAATATTAAATCAAAGTAAAAAAAATTTATTTACTGTTCCACGCAAGCTTATTTATTAGCATCAACTATTCGAATTGAATCCCAACCGTAGTAAAGTCAGATTGACCATGATATATTTCTTATACATATGATGAGTTCTGGTTGCGAAAAGGTAAGAGTTTATATAAATTTTTATTCCTAAATTCCTGAGTTATCAGTCATTTTTAATATTCATTGTTATGATACCAGTCGTTGGACGTCAGAGTCAATTCTGCAAAAATTAAGTGGATATATTCAAATGACTGAGCCGTAATTGGGTCAGAACATCGTGAAACTCTCAAAGATAATGTTTCAAAAGGGATGAGATTTTGATAAACTTTAATCTGGCTAAAACTTTATGATAATTTCAGCCGATATGCAAAGTTATGATTGCTAATTTCAAATAAGAGACGCGACGAAGTTAACTGGGCTGCGTCATTTCAAGACATTAGTAATGGTAAATTTATATATTTTTTAGTGTTAAGTCTAAATCATAGGAAATATAAACTAAGAGCTATTCTTTTTTTTTTTTAACAATCATACGCATTAAAAGATGCAATTGCCTCAATAATTGATTTTTAAAATAAAATAGTTTAATTCGAACCATTATTCGAAATCATACAATATCAACTCGTCAAATCTATAAGTTAGTGACAAAAAAATTTCAGGGAAAGACAATATATTGAAATATAAATAAAAATATATGGTATTAGAAAATTTACACAGAAAGAGTTACATAAAGTACTGCTCATTAAATATTTATTGTAACCATTACCAAAACAGAATAATAGATCGACCACAACAATTAGCATCACAAGGCACGCAGTCACAATACGGTTCACACATAACGCAATCGCACCTTTTCACCAAGCCTGAGCGTTTCTCACTAGAAGAAGTAGCTGAGAAAGCAACATTACTGAAAGATGAAATGACGATAATAAGCATGAAAATGTGAATTTTCATGATGGCTTTGGAAGTATTTGAAGGATTAATATCACAAATGTGTTTATAATGAATTTTATAAACAGATTCTTGTGAGAATGTAGCTTAAAGACGTGTATTTATAAGCAAATCAGATTAGAGTCACAATTTAAATTATTTGATGGAATGGCTGTCTCTTGACAATGTAATAACAAAATTTCCTCACTTTACATAGCTTTTTTTTAAGTAGCAGGTTTATTGGGCTTATACTTAACAAAATTATATTTGCCTGTTGAAGATTCTTGAAAAGAGCTTTACAGTCTTTACAGTAGAGACCTGCATAAGTCCAAATTTTGAAGCCCGGCCTTAATTATAATTATAGGCAGCGAAATTTAACAATTTAATCATTTTACTTTTATTTAATAAATAAACAAAAAAGATTAATGAAGAGCACTATGTAATACCAAAATGCTACTATTGTTTATAAACAATATTAAAACAGTGGCGTATAAATTTTAACTAAATAATGATTTTTGCCAATATTATAAAAAAATCCGGGCTGGTACCATGAACCGGACCCGGAACGTAGCAGCCTCTACTTTATAGCCTCAAATGCTGTAATAAATATTTGCAACCAATCACACCATTGCAAATCCTAAATATAATCGGTTAAAAAAAATTTAAGCTATTGTTTATATACAATGAATATAATTCTGCCCACAAACGATAATATGTATGTTCATGTTAATTTTAGTTAGACTATGAATATCAATTCCGTCCAGTCCAGTTCGCAAATTGGATATTGATGTTGTAATGGCATTGTTTGCTGTAACTAAGCCAATTGGCTTTGGTAATGTAACTTAACTAAGCCAAGAGGCTTTAGAAATGTATCTAAGCAAAAGGTTTTTGTAACGTACCTAAACCATATTTTAATAAATTTTTATTTCAATAACAATTTATTTATGTGGTAATAAATAAACAATAGATACAGTTACGTCTTATATAATTCCGCTCGAAAGATCACGATTTAAGCTTGTAAATTGAAGCTAGCTTTTTTTTGACCAGGCGGGTATGCCAGGATGGTAGTGTTGTATTAATAAACAATTTTAAATGTAAGCAGCATTTTTATCGAGTAACTAGCAATTTTTCACATACACTAATATTGTAACTAATACTAATTCTAATAATGAATTCATCAATACGTCATAAGGTATAATATTGATCGTTTAGTAAATGACAATTTATTTAATAAATAATTTTTGGGGATATCCGCACAATCTCAAACACCAAATCTATTCTCACCCGTATTGTTCTAAAGCATGTGATTTATCAAGGGACGTCTCACAACATGAAAAGGAACTGATATGGTAGGTAATTTTAAGCTTTTTTTCATATTTCGAGCTTAAACTTGCAAGTTAGCAAAGGTATTGGAGTAGGAGGGAGAGGTGTAGACGCGTTGTATAGATTTGTGCAAAAAATGTAGGTATTATTCAAGAGAATCAAGATAAGAAAATAAATTATCTGATAGTTTTTAAAAGTTTTAAAAAAAAAATGAAATTACTAACTTATGTATGTTACGAATCATTAAAATTAAATTTTGAACTTAAATAAACATTAATAATTATTAAGTAAAACTCGCGATGAACGAAAAATATCTGGAGTATATTCAATGACTTCATTCTTAGCCACGTAATAAAAATAAAGGATAAAAAAATTAAAATGGCTTGGTCCCTTTCATTGTAAAGATCAATCAGGACAGGAAACCTGTTTAACAGACTAACGGACACCTCCATTTTACCGATATTTTATATTTGGATTGTATATTTAAATGGTATTAATGCAAATAAAAATTTAGTACAAAAAATAAGAAGCTTTAAATTATAAAATAATCGCAGCTATATATTTTATTTTCTAATAAGCAAGTTAAAGAAAATGTTGCAAATTTGCTATATTAATGAACTGCTTTACATTTAAGTAATACTTCGATTTTCCTGATAATCTTTTAATATTTTCGCTGAGATGAGGGTATCCGCTTAATTGGTTGTCGGCCAAAAGGTGTCGGTTAATCAGCATTCGGTCGGCTAAAGTGTTTAACTACATTGGAATTATTACTTCAATAAACCGCAATACAAGCAATAAGACTTTACTTTCGTAACAATGAATATTTTATAATAATGCAAGATTTTTTTCACCATTCTAGTTCCAGCCATTGAATGTAAATTATTATGAGTTTGCTAGTTTTAAAAATGCAATTTCGCAGTACAAGGTAATATTGAAATATTTGAAATCCCATTTTATATAACGTATTTATTAAAATTCCAATCATCTTTATTAAAATATCTATACGTTTCTTAAAAATTAATGTAAATTTCGAATACTTCATAATCATCTATAAAAAATAAATCATCAGTTGGAACCGGTTAAATTAGATGAATTTAAATCCGGCCGAAATTCAATTTCCGGCCAGAATTAACATTTTTATGATTGAAAAAATATTGTCTAACTCTGGCCAAAATTTATAATACTGGCCAAAGTTAATTTTAACCGTTTAATTAACCGATTAACAAATATTTTAACCGGTTATTAACCGGTTAAAGAATTTTCGGTCGGTTCCAACCTCTACAGTATTCCTCAACATTTTTTTCATTAGAATCTTTACGACAAAAAGTTGAACCATAATGAATTTATCAAAAGATCTCTTCCAAAACATGAGCCGCAATTCTTGTATCATAAAATACCTAATTTGCATTAATAAATTTATTTCGAATCGCATCCTTGATAAAGTTATCCTTATTTTTTAAAGAAAAATAAAACTATTTTTGGTTATACCCCATATACCAGTAGATTTCTATATTAGAGGATTGTATCCATCAATAATTTCATTTGTTCCTTTTATTTTAATGAAGGTGAAAGTCATGGATTTATTATTACATATTGTGTGAAACGTTTTAGGAGTAAATCCGTCTCGACTTTCTCTCAATAGCAATTTAAATTTATATGGAAATAATAATCCTTCATTATCTTCCACTTTATCTTTCCATTTTGAAATTAATGAAGCTATATTATAGTAATAATTTTCGAATCAAAATTTTTTTGACTCAAAATTCCCAACTCTAGGAGGTGAAATGTTATGTGTGATTCGAGTTTCTGGATCCAGGTGGTAATAATAGTAAATTTTCATAAAGTTGATGGTTTATAAGCCTTTTGCACTCTTCGTATAAAGTTTTTAGAAGATAAACTAAAAAATCTCATTAACAATGCTGCAAGGTGTTTTCCATTATTTTGAAATCATCATCAGTCCAAAATACGGATCCGAAGTAAGAGTTGGATTTTGAGCAAGACCCCCTCTTAATTCCAAATTCAATTTCTTCCATTTGTAAATCGTCCCTTTTAATGATTGATATTAAAGATTTTTCAGGAAGAAAAGACAAGTCAAGTTACTTAAATATTGTGTCAGGTGAGTTAGCTATCAAATCAGTACAAAATCGTTGAAGGTCTAGAAAAATTATTTGATTGAAAGTTTGCTTGGTGAATACTCCCAAAATATTGCTCCATCCATTCGGATTTATTTTCAATTAAATACTTTTGCAAATAATCAATAAGCTCTTGAAGACATAGTTTATTAGCAGTCAACAAGACTTTAACAATATCTGAAACGTCTAGTTCAATAAATGAAAGAATGCCGAAATAAATTTATTAAAAATTATTATATTATATATGTTGGTTTGTTTATATCCGATAACACTTACTTAAGATTTCCGGTGAAATATTTGGCAATTTCAAATGTACCAATATATTAGAAGCCAAAGCTCGTCGCAAATATGGAGAACAGTAGCACAGAATATTCATATGAGCACGGAATATTTTAACATATATCATCGTCCAATAATTCAATATATTTTGACTCAATATTGAAAGAAATTGTGCTGACATTTTGCAAAAATTTATTCGGAGGAAAGAAAGGAATTGGTATGACAACAGAAATTGATTTTTTTTTTCTAGTCAATTATATCAGTTAACGCCTATTATATCAGATATAGATAAATTAACTATTTAATAAATTAATACAAAAAAAAAAAATTCTCGAGTTTGCAATTTTTCCCAGATGGAAATACGTCCCCACGTAGAATTATTGAATAATTTATAGCTAATTTTATATTTATAAACGTTTATATTCAATTACTTTTTTTCATGATTTCGTAAATTGAATACTCATGGGTAAGTGTGTAAATATTGGAATAACGAGGGTGTGAAGCTTATAGATTACTTTTCGTCTTTATTATAGTGATCCCATGTGTTGTCAACATGTGATAATATGTAAAGTTAGTGGTTTACCTGTTATTGTTTTGCTTTACTATACCTTTGTATTTTGCATTTAATGATTTAATTTATTAACGAGGTTACTCCCGAATTTGGTTTTGAATTTTTTTAACATGTGGAGTATTCATCGTTATCAATTAGGGGGATGGATTTAGTCTTAATTTGTAACGAGGTATTCGATCGAAATAAATGCGCTGCGCAGTACATTATTTCTTTTTTTTTTTTTTTTTAAAAAAAAAATATCTTTACTTTAATTCATGCCGAGATGATGTACGAGAGGGCACTATACAGATATATTTCATGATATCCAATGCAAAAGGAGAAGTCTAATACGTTTAGCTCATTGAAAAATTCTTCACTCTGAATACTTAAATGCTCGCAGATTTTAAACGCGAAGTAATTATTAAATTTTTTTATGATGTTGATAAATAAAAAAAAAATCATTTCTATAAAAAAAGATACATTTTATAGAAACGAAGAGAAAGATTTATAGGACAATTTTTTTTATATTTAAAACTAGATCAGATTGAGGTGCGGCGATTCTGTCGTCGCTAAATGATCTTTTTCTAGGTATTATCTATTGTACAAAATTTGATTTTTGTATTTGGAATTTTTATAAATATTCTTTACCATCTAATATTTGAATAATTTGTCATTGATTTTATTTTTCTTTTAATTTTAATTTTTTTTTTATCCCCCCGGCAACCAATTTTTCCGGGCGACGCTAGGTTTTGCTGTCATTTCACGACTTATTTTTAACGGTCTAACTTATTTTTTTTTTGAAAAAAATTTAATCGCTTCAAATATAAATAAATCAACGAGGACATGATTTTCAATTTAAAATTTTTTAATATTGATTTTCATATTAACGACTTAATATAAAATATTTTCAAGGAAAGGACATTATATATTGAAAGAAATAAATTATAGAACAAGAAGCAAACGTTATACAAGTATGAAGCATCGCTGACAGTACGAGCTTGCCTAAAAAATAAATCTCGAAATTATCACATCAACAAAAAACAATATCTATCAAGCTTGAGTGTTTATACCTAGAATAAGGGGAAGCAAACTAAAGACAGCAATGACAATAATAGGCTTTATATGATGACTTTGAGAGTATAAATCACTATTGTTTATAATATATAAAATTTATACGAATTCTTGTGCTTCAGTACGTGTGTTTATACGTAAGTTTTAATAGTTTATAGTTATAAATTAATTGATGGAACGAATGTCTCTTGATATTTTAACAATAAAGTCAAAAAAATTTTTATGTCAAGGTAGATGCAGAATATTATTAAATTTACTTTGTGTTCTAAATTCATAATAAGTTTATCGTCTTGTAAAAGCTAAGGATTATTCAACGTTTACAGTACAAATGAAAAGCTTTTATTGTTAAATTGAAGTTTAAATTAATTATCAAATTTCAAATGGGAAACGTAATCCGCTAAATGGGTATACATTATAACAGACGATTTTTTGTGAAATTATTAATAAAATGTCTGATAATTATTTTGCACGGTTTTGTGTTCGGTACGTTCGATAATATATTAGGACAGTCAACGTTGCTGAAATAAATAATCCAAGATTCAGTGATTGAATTCCGCAAAGTATTGCGAGATCGTGACAGATTCAAGATTCGGCCCTACTGCGCAGCAGATCCAATTAAACTGTGCATCTCGGATTCTGCTTTATTTCCTACTATCAAAACATTTTTCATTATCAATGAAACAAAGCAACACCGGATAAATATATAACTCGCACGGAGAACTCGCTAATCTTAAAGAAATTGCTTCATAATTTGCTTTGTTTAACCCAAGTATTATTCTTATCAAAACATTTAAAAATATAAATGTTCACAAATTTATTTATTTCATGATGTTTATGGCTTCTGTTCCAGCTGTTATTTCTACAATTTCTACATTTGTCGAAGTTGAACCAGCAGTACGTCGTTAAGTGGTAAAAATAGAGACTCAACGCTGTATGGATACCACATTTACTTGGCCTTTAATAAGTAAGAAAAAGGTTTGTTCTTCCGATGGAATCTGATGTTTTAAGGTGATCTCTTATGACGAAAGCAAAGGAAGTGTTGATTATAACGCTACTTGTTTTTATTATCAACGTATTGGACTATTCCTAATCATGGATTTATCATGTAATATCGAAACAACAGATCTTTTATCTCTTATAAGGTCATTATTTATTTGCTCTTTTTTACTAGGTGCATATGAAAAATTCTACAATTATTCATTTTGATGAATAGAGTTAATAAATAAATTCTAAGTCATTACTATTTTTTTTTATTATATTAAAATGATATAAGTAAAGTGAAATTATAGCCTTATAGTTAATAAAATGTGTCATTTGCTATTAAAATCGAGATACGAACATAGTGTCCATAACATGAATTTAATAGCGACCTCCCATATGTATGGTGATTTCCATGATATCTTTTAGGAAGTGTATTTGAAGTCTCCGGCATATGAAGAATCCTCAGGACTTAAAATTGTTTACGAAGTAAGAAACATCATTAATGGACCGGTACTACAAAGCGTTGCGGTGTTTTAATTAAAGAGGGAGTGATTACATTTATACCATATACATGATATTTATTAGATTTATAAAAATTTCAATAAACCTTATAATTTCCTCTATTTATAAATTTATGTAACGTACAAACAATTTTATAAAATTTAATACGATATTAATATCCAGACTGCTAAATTTATTTCAAATAATTTAGCATAAAATAAAAAATTAAAAATAATTTTCACAAACAATAACGTATAAATTAAATCCTTAAATATAATAAACTTTATCAAGAATTTGGTGATTTTGACTAACTTATAAATGTTATTTATTTTAAATAAAATTATATAAATATATTAATACGATAAGTAAAATCTAGAAATTAAATATTTTTATTAAAGGCAAAATTACGAAAGTTTCCGAAGGATGGCAAAATCTCATCGAAACCTTCTGATATTAGAATATAATTTTTTGAATTTAAAATTTTGTTTAACGAGATGAGCAAATCGCATATAGCAAAGATCACTTTCTTTTATAATGTCATATATTTATATATATTTATAAAGGATAAAAAAAAAAAAAAAATAATTCAAAAAAAAAAAATCAAAAAATTTACATATTGATATCAAGTCAAGTTACATCATTTATTTTCCATATTTTCTTCATTAAACTCATGACGGTATTCTTATACTTTCATTTGAAAATCATCATCTGGATGTTGGAACCGGATTCGACATTCGAATTTAAACCCAGTTCGAATTTAAATCCGGATACAAAATTGGCCTAGTACAAAACCGGATTCTCATGTTAGCATTGATGAAAATTTATATTTTTATAGGATTTCATAAAAAACGCCGTATAATTTATTAAGCAAAAAAAAATATTTGATCTGCACAGTTTTTTGAAAAAGAGATTCGATATTCGAATTTAAATCCGAATCCGATTTTTAAAATTAAATAAACCCGGTTCCAACCTCTATCATCATAATTCTTCAACAAGTACCAAATTTAAAACCTGCTAATTAAATAATGTATTATTTTGGAAACTTTGTTCTAATTTTAAAAAAAAAAATCGTTATTATATTCTACATACATTGTGATACAATAAACCTGTTAAACCGTCAAATTTTCAAAGTTGTTATCGAAACTGTCGAAAAGTTAAAATGGGTTTAGGGTTTTGCCCCCGCAACTATAACTGGTGAGTATTACGCTCATAACCTCTGAATACTAATCGTGAATATGAACAGGTGATATCAAAGCCTGGTGATAGATTTTATTTCCACTGTTGGCGAAGTTATATAGCCTCATCATCTATATTTAATATCAGACGTTTATATATGTAGTTACGAACAAAATTTAAAATCGAACTGAGTTTCTCTGTTACTTTACTTTTTATGTGTATTTACCGAAATAATTAATCACCTAATAAAATATCACAAAGTTAGTTTAATTATAAACTTTCGTTACAGGTATGTAAGAGTCACGAAACTATTAACCATTTTATTAGAATATAACGTAATTCGAGACGAAAATAAGTTTGTTTATATTGAAATTCTGGGAAAGTCAACTAGGAGAAAATCCCTCCGGAATATAGTGAAGTTGAGGCTGAAGATCCAATGCTAAAATATGATATATTTTGTTTGTTCATGTTATTTATTAAAATTTCTAGTTTGTTCAAATCAAAATGTATAAAAAAATATTTAACCGATCTTGAACCGCGTAAATGACCAATTTTATTTTTAGTTTATTTAAATAGAAGGTTTAAATAAATTTGCATACTGATGTACTTATTAATAGTAGTAATTTTTAAGGATTATTTAGGCTGGTTCCAAACCTAAAAATTTATTAACTGAAGTAATTTCTGAATGAATGCATAAATATTTTACGCTTAATTAAAACTGAACGATTATTATAAAATAATTCTTATTTGAAGTGTATGACAATGAATAATGATATCTCAAATTTATAGCAACGATAAAAGTAATTTTTATTAAAAATATATTTTTTTTAGGATCCTTGAAAACAATTCATTCAAAATATTAACAATTCTCTTGTATCATTTTATCATTTGCATATTCACTTTTTCTTAATTGTGAATTTTTAGCTAAGCTAATTAAATTTTCACTTCCTAATTGAAGTCTTTTTAAATTAGGATTATTACTTAAATCAATATCCTTTACTTCGCTAAACGGCAGTTCTAAAATTTCAAGTTTATCATTATTACTAATATTAATGCTTGTGATGTTATTGAAAACAATGAATTTTTCCAAATCAGGATAAGCTGATAAATCAAGTGAACCTTTTGTGGTAATCTTTCCCGATACCTCCTCAATTTCTTTTACAGATCTATCGGGGTATTTTAGCTCATACTGTTGTTGTAAAATTATTTCAGGAGGAAATATTATATTACTTTTAAAGGTTTTACTTGCTGATAATGCTTTTCCGATGCATATCTCACCATCATTAAGATATTCTGTATCCTCTTCAACAATTTTTTTAAGCTTTCTAGTATTTGACAAATCCAAAAAAGTTAATTTATTGTTGTAGCAGGAGAGAATTGATAAGGATTTGGATGAAGTTATGCCAGTTATTTTAGTGTCATTACAGTAGAGAGATTTTAAAGAGTTCGGCAAGGTTGGTAAACTAGTTATCTGAGTATGATAGCAGCGAAGTGATGTTAAGGAGTTGGGTAAGGTTGGTAAACTATTTATCTGAGTGTTAGAGCAGGAAAGAGTTGTTAGGGATTTAGATAATGCCGGTAAGCTAGTTATCCGAGTATTATGACAGTAGAGAACTGTTAAAGAGCTAGATAAAGTGGGTAAGCTGGCTAATTGTGTATTGTAACAATTGAGAGTTTTTAAGGATTCGGGTAAAGTTGGCAAGCTTGTTACTTTGGTATTTGAGCATTCGAGAATCGTTATGGAGTTAGGTAGAATTGGCAAACTTGTTATTTGAGTATGGGAGCAGTAGATTTCTTTCAAGGAGTCAGGTAAGGTTGGTAAGCTAGTTAATTTGGTATTAGAGCATTCAAGAATCATTAAGGAGTCAGGTAAAGTGGGTAAACTAGTTATCTGAGTATCAAAGCATTCAAGTGTCATTAAGGAGTTAGGTAAAGTTGGCAAACTAGTTAGTTGCGTGTGCGAGCAACAGATTTCTTTTAATAAGTAAGGTAATTTTGGCAATTTGGTAATTTTAGTGTAAGAACAATTAAGGATTGTCAAGGAGTTTGGTAAAATGGGTAAACTTGTTATTTGAGTTTTATAGCAATAGAGTTCTCTTAAGGAGTTTGGTAATGTAGATAAACTAGTTATTCGATTATTAAAGCAGATGAGAGTGGTTATGGTGTTAGGTAAAGTGGGTAAACTAGTTATTTGAGAATTATGACAGTCAAGTATTGTTAGGCTGGGTAGTATAATTAAGCTAGGTAAAGTTAGGTGAGCTATTCTAGTATTGTGACAATAGAGTGTTTTTATTGGTAAGCTATTTATTTTAGTGTTGGAGACGGATAAAATTGTTAAAGAGTCAGGTAAAGTTGGCAAGTCTTTTATTTTAGTATTATTGCAGCAGAGCAATGCCAAGGAATCAG